CTGGGCACACTGCTGGCTCATGTTCAGGCGGCTGTCGACCAACACCCCCAGGCCCTTTCCCGCCGGGCAGCTCCCAGCCGCTCCTCCCCACGCCTGCAGTGGTGCCTGGGGTTGTTGTGCCCCCAGTGCAGGACCCGGCCCTGAGCCTTGCTGACCCTCACCCAGTGCCTGGGCCCATCGACCCAGCCTGGCCAGGGCCCTCTGCAGAGCCTCCCTGCCCCCCAGCAGATCAACGCTCCCGCCCGACTGGGTGTCCTCTGCAAACTGGCTGAGGGTGCCCTCGATCCCCTCGTCCAGGTCGTTGATAAAGACATTGAACAGAGCTGGACCCAGTACTGAGCCCTGGGGACACCACTGGTGACCGGCCGCCAACTGGATTTAACTCCATTCACCACCACTCTTCGAGCCCAAGCATCCAGCCAGTTTTTTACCCAGCAAAGAGTATACTCGTCCAAGCTGTGAGCAGCCAGCTTCTCCAGGAGAATGCTGTGGGAAACAGTGTGAAAGGCCTTACTAAAGTCCAGGTAGACACCATCCACAGCCTTCCCCTGATCCACTAAATGGGTCACCTTGTCTTAGTGAGCACCTCCGCCAGCTCCCTCAGTATCCTCGGGTGGATCCCATCCGGCCCCGTAGACTTGTGTGTGTCTAAGGGGCATAGCAGGTCACTGACCATTTCCCCTTGGATTATGGGGGCTTCATTCTGCTCCCCATTCCTGCCTTCCAGCTCAGGGGGCTGGGTACCCCGAGAACAACTGCTCTGACTAGTAAAGACTGAGGCAAAGAAGGCATTAAGTACCTCAGCCTTTTCCTTGTCCTCTGTCACTATGTTTCCCCCCACATCCAATAAAGGACGAAGATTTTCCTTAGCTCTGCTTCTGTTTCCAGTGTATTTATAGAAACATTTTTTCTTATCTTTTGCACAGTAGCCAGTTTAATTGTCCCTGCCGGAGAGCTTGCCAGTTGACCCAAGCATGCGAGAGATCAGCAAGACTCACCTCCCTTGCCTGTGAAGGCCCTTCTGGACCTAACTGGAGGAGGAACTATATCCTGCTCGTAGGTGTTCTCCTGGTTGGTAGATTGAAGCATCTGATCCCCACACAACCCATCCCAGGTTACTCAATGCACAAGAGCGAGAAGATCCCCAGCAATGCACGGTGCTTGGAAAGCTCCCTTCAGATGTACAGGATAAAAATATCGTTCTCATATCAAGTGGGGAAGCTCATCAGAAGGCTCTTCTCTCCAATTTCCTTGCCCAGACAAATTAGAAAGAGCCTGGAAGATGCAGAGAGAGTGAGTGAGGCCCAACCAGGCAGCACCCAATGCCCCTCGGCTGCTGCAAGCACCCTTCCCTCGACCTGTAACTGCAGGCACATCCATCGGGCTGCAGGGCCCCTTTTCTGGGGGGAACCCTACTTGCCCCAGTATGGCTGCATCTTCCCATCTTCTGAAAACACCAAACTGGGTCACACCAAAGTTCCAGCCTGTGCATCAGCTCCGAGAGCGGAGAGCAGCAAATGCACAGGGGAAAAAGCAAGAGACAGGAGTGCAAAATACCGAATGCCACTGGCCCACTTTATCTCCTCCCAGGTCTCAGCAGTCACCAGCTCATGGGTTTATTGAATCCATGGTTGCACCAGACCACCTTACCCCTCTTCCCCAGGGATTGCTTCATTCTCTTAAGTGACCATCAGACAAGAAGTGCTGCAGAAATAACACAAGTTACAGTGGTAATTCCTGCAAAAACCTGCAGCAGGCAAAGAACAAAACACATGGTGTTGCTAATGCCAAGTTCTCCTTACTCACATAAAGCATCTAAGGTTTGAACCGGTGGTAAATATACAAGTATTGGGTGCAGTTCAAAGCCAAAAGGACTTACTTTTGCCCAGTGCAGCTGGCCAAGAGGGAGATCTCTGCAAGGTCCTGGATCTATCCTAGATCTCTGCTTCAGTCTTGGATCAGACCTGGTTTCTCCTCTTCCCTTGGTTTTCAGAAGAGTGGCCAAGGATGAAATATTCACACTGTGCATCTGGAAGTCAGCCCCCGTAGATACCCATCAGACAGGAGAAAACATTTCTCTCTCCGTCACCAAATCACCTCTGAAGGAACCTATGCAAAAGCAACCACACTGGCTAGTCAGGTCTCCAGCACCTGGGAAGGAGCGGAGCAGGGCTGAGGAGCAGAAGAGCTTCTGCCAGGCAGCGCCTCGGGGTGCTCAGCGGAACCCCTGGGGGATTACGGAGAGCTGGGTGGTTTAGTCCAGAAATACGGTATTTCTGTTCAGGTATGAGCTATTTTAACTCTGTGAGGTTTCCCAATGTAGAGAAGCATCCAGCTGTTCTCGCAGCCTTGCTGGGCTCCTTGGCTGACACGGAGTTACAGTCTCGGACAGGCCAGCGCTTCAGGATCAAGTTCAGCAGTTGTCCATGCTGGGTACCACCTTACTCCAGCAGTCTCCGCCTTGCAGGGCAAGGGGTGCCTCAGGCTGAAAGTAGGATCTGGCCACGGAGCTTTCTGTTTGTAGCTGTGAAAACCTTTGAATTTTTGGTGAGCACTGTTTTTCCTTTTGGAAAAAAAAAAAAAAAAAGTTTTGGTATCTTTAATCTAAAATAATTAAAAATCAATGTTACAAAAAACTCGCCTGCAGTCACAAGGTAACACACAGCCCCAGACATCCACAGGGCCGTAGGGCATCTGTCCAATTTGGACAACAACCTCTGCAAAAAAAAACCCAACAGACACCACAACCCTTCTACAATACAATGCAGTGCATTGAAGTAGAGCCAACGTGCTGCAACGGCAGCGGGCAGATGTCCTTATTGCACAGGACACTGGTACAAACCACAGAGGTGCAGCACGGGGCAGAAAGCTGCTCTCAGCACATGCCCAGGGTTGTAGCTCTGTGATTCGGGCATTCTGAGATCAGCCCCGCAGGACGCGCATGAAGAAGGGTACAAACCCCAGGCAGCTCGGCGCTGATCACAGCGCTGCTCCTGCCTGCCCGAGCGAGGTATGTGGGGAGAGTGTCTCAGACTCAGCCTGTCACTCGAGGAACAAACAGCTAATGGGCTGCCGTCACCTCGGATCGCGGCGTTCCACGTCGCCGGGAGAGCACGCTCTCAATCCGCAGCTCGGGCTGCACAGCAATAGCTGTTCAATCTAACCGGAAAGATAAAGCTTCTGTCAGACCCAGCCATCTCAGTGCAATTTCTCTGCAAAGCTACCCTTCATTCTGCAGTCACAGTGTCTTGGCACAGAGCCTTTCTTGAGGCAAACGTCCCCGGTCCCTGCGCGGCGCTGGGCTGCTCAGCCAGCACACGGGGAGGGCTGCAGAGCCGGGCAGGGACCCTCCAGCACCAGACTGATCCTCTGAGACTCCCATGCTCTGGGAACCGCAGGCTCACCAGCGGTTATCCA